AGCTCTTCTACAGCACTTTCCTTCTGAGGATACAAAGTGATTTGCAAACATTAATTAATTCTCATAAAGCCCTATGAGGCAGATAAGTGTTAAGTATCCCTGTGTTAATACATATGAGAAACATGAGACCTGAGTGCCTTATGATCCATGCTGTTCTCTATATTCACTCCCAAAAAGGAATATGTGCCTTGGGACAGAGGAAATCCCCATTTTTTCGTCATTCTCTTGTTTTCCTTGGACCCTCTGGAGTCCTTCAAGGGTAGCAGGGATGAAGCTGAGATTCAGGCTACAGCATGTGAGATTCAAGCTACACAGATCAGAAAAGAGAGGGAGCCTTGCTGTATTTGCTGCTGGTTTTGTGGGGGAAAGCAAGGCCCTTTATGCAACCTGCGGGTCACTTGCTCCATGGTCCAGCACCCCATTTGAAAGGTGGCTTGGGCTGCCAAAAGTAGAAAACACTTCTGAAAGGGCAGGCATACTTGTGCGCTACCAAAGGCAATAGAGCCGGACAGCAAGCAGAGGCAGAGGAATTACTTGAAGAAATAGCCCCAGCTGAATCCCACCCATCTCATGGAAGAAACCCATACTTTTTTTAAAGAACGATGGTGCCTTGGATGCTCCAAATATCAGTGTTTTTCCTCTATGTAGCTTTAGTGAGGTGAGGGCAACCAGAGCCTGAAGTGACTTGCCCAGTTTGTTAGTTAACCTTAAGAACAATTTACAGCATGGCAACCAGTAATGCTGGAAATGGAATCTTGGCCTTACTGAGGGCAAATGGCAGCTTTATGAGACATATTAAAGTAGCCAAATTTTCATGCTAACAATATTGGGTGAGAGACATTGTTCTCCAGTTTTCAAGACAGACTAGTCGTAAGATGAGCCAAATGCTTTTCTGAATGCATTCTGACAAATTTATCTACGGTTACATGCCTTCCCAGCTCTCGGTGCACAGCACATAAGCTAATGTAACAATTATAATTATGATAGTGATCAGACCTACCAGTCCTTTTTAAGACACAAAAATCAGACTAATTCTCTAGTTTCAAACACAATGAATTCAAATATGTGATGTAAATGCTAACAAAAAGATACCAAAATGAGAGGCATGTTAGGTCTGCGCCAGCCAAACTTCTATTGTTATCTTAACAAGTCCGTGTTCTTCAGGCATTGTTTGTATTTCTATTGTGCCAGGAGATTTTATTCTTTAGTTTGAGGATTCTCCCTGAATGGGGGAGGGAAACGTTGCTATTGCTGTGAAAAAGAAGCATTTCTTTCTGACATATTAAGCATTAAGAGGATTATGTAAAGGCAAGGCATATTGCAGAAGGAGATGTTCTTAATATAGCTTTGACCATGAACCCATGACCCTCCAGAAAATTTAGGAGAGTTAAAAAAACCTATTGCTTTGACAATCTTTTCATTTAAAAAAATCTTCTTGTAAAAAGATCAAGGAATTCATCCACTGTTATTTACATAAAATTCAACCTTTCCTGCTTAAAATCATGAATCATTTAATGTCACATCTGTGGGATATCTGAGGCAGATGCCATTAATCCAAGTCATTTCGCAAATTTCAATTTCATTTGGATTAAAACCTACAACTAAGTCAATGAATAGTATATACTGTACATGCATTAAGGCTGGTGACTACTAAAGTCTCTTGAGTAGATAAACTAAGCACAGATTAGCCAGGTCTAAGTATATGTCCTCATCTAGGGGAAAAAAGATATCCCGGCATTTCAGTGATGTAGATTTGAATCAGTAGCCATGAAAAACGGTTGAACGTTTGTATTACAAAAGAGATACTATGGCACAGTCCCAAAGGTGCATTTCTTATAAATTAATTAGCTGCACAAATTATTTTGATAACAGTTACTGCACTTCTGAGGTGATATGGCTGCTCAGTGATGAGTATTTGATGATCAATGGTAGGCACTAGTAATATCTTTCATGCTGAGTGACTTTTATTACTATTTAGATTTACAGTATATACATATGTGTTTGTATCTACACTTAGGGCTTGATCTTCTTACCTCCTGTACCTAAGGTCCTCTGTACACTATAATCTCTTCCTTTGGAGCCCTGTGATATTTGGATAAAAGAAACAGGGAAACAAGGGGTTGGGGTGTCCTGCCATGCAACAGGGAGGACTATGCTTGGCTTTTGGCCACACTTGAACCTCTGCAAATGCTTTGTTCTTACCTGTCATTCATGCCACCATGGAATACTATAAAGGATTAAGGCCAAGGGGTCTGTATGATCTTGCTGTCTGTGAGGATCCTATAGGTTGCTCTGCATTTGTTGCATCCACCTGCATTACACAGTTCCTTTGAATTCATTCCCATTGCTTTACCAACCCTGACTGATTCAGAAGCCTCTGTTTGTAAGCAAACCTCTCCCTCCAGGCACAATCCTTCTGGATTTGCACAGAATGACTTCTAACTTTCACAAAATGAACCTTAACTCTGCTGTGGCATAAAGAAGCCTGCATGTTCCTGGACTTTTACATCATCTTAAATAAAACAAGCGTCTTTCATGGAACTCCAAAGAAGGACAGTCTGCACTGGTCCCATCCAGAACACACAGAGCACCTTCGACTCATGGTGAAGTGCCTAAGACTATTCAGGGTCTTAACGTGGAGCATAAGCTTAACTGGACCAGACCTAAAAGCCACATGCACTTTTCCAGACCAGGCCCTAAGAAGATGAAGTATTTGTTGTCACCATGCCACATTCAGTCACCTAAACGGCAGCAACCATATACAGCAAATAGTCTGCACAGAAGACACTAAATAACCTCACCAAAATAGTACAGCTGGAAGAAACCCTGTGAAGAGAAGGCCGAACCCTCTAATCCATTTATATATCCAGTTGGTTTAAATGGCTGCAATTTCATCCTGTTACACCACCAGCAGTTAAGGCTCAGTGTGCTCATAAGACAACACAGATGATGCCAGCACAAAAACTGAAAACCAGTGGGGTTTTCCATGGAAGCAATGGGTATTTTAGCTGGAATAATTCAATATAAGAACGTTGTACAAAAAAGGACAATCATCTACATGAGATCCTTAGTACTTGGAAATGTTACGACAGCATTAGTTCTTGCATTTCTTTGAAGTTTCTTGACATATTACATCCATACAAAGAGTTCATTGTGATTAAGAAAAATATCCCAATCTTAGTAAAATAAACATGCTTCAAAGTTCCATACTTGAAACTCAAATGCCACATGTGCAATAAAACTAAACTCCATTTAAGGCAAGTAATATATGTCACTTCTAAAATTTCTCAACATCAAATAGCAGTAAGGACTCCCAAACCCGCAAACTTATTGGAAGATAAACATCGTAGGCACCATCAAGGAAAACAGAAGCTAATCTGATTGGAATTTCACTTTCCTGATCTGAGGAGAAATCCCATAGTACCTTCATATTGAAGCAGCTGACAGAATCGGTTGCTACTAGGCTAGTAAATCATGGCAGTCTTCCACAGCCAAAGATCAGACAAGTAATAAACAGAAAGGCACCGATCAAGTTCTCCACTATATGTGTGACCAAACAAACAGTGTTCCTTCTGGGGTGGGGAACACACAGATTTAAGAGTGAAGGGAGGGCTTGGAGGGTGTGTATTTTGTCATTTAAAGGCAGGTCCGTGCTCACTCTCAAAGCCAGCCACACTGTAACACTCAAGCCTATGCTAAGAGGTGACCACAGCCTGAGGTCAGGATTTCTCTTGGTGAGGGGGAAGTATTTGAGCACCAACAGGCACATAAATATTGGCCCAGGATGGCTTGGGGCTGAGCAGTCCCTCGGTAGCTCCCACCAAGCTGCTTCGAAGAACAAGATGAATGCTGTGAGCAATAGCTGGAGGTGTGGTAAGAAGCTTCAACCAAAAAATGCAGGTATGTGGGACTCAGTGTGCTTTCAAGCCTGCTCTTTACCACGGAGTACATTCGGCCTGTGTTATCAAAGATGTTTTAGTGAGAAAACATGCCGCAGTGTTTGGTATCTTTTTGTCAAAATGCAGCTCTTCAAAAATGGGGGAATGAAAAAAAGGCAGCAAGGACCAGTCAATCAACCATCGATATCAGTGGCTACTTCTACTTGTATCTTCTATTGAAAGAGTCTTTTGTACTCACATTTCCTTAATATATAAATAAATTAGATTAGAAAACAACAATCAAAGGGTCCAACCAGTGGCTCGGACAAGAATAGTCCACTGAAAGTCACCTGAGCTGCTGACTTGGGTGAAGGCTGCAAATCTGATTGCAAAAAAATTTTATTTCCAATACAGGAAAAGAAAACTAAATGTGTGAAAACCACTGAAAATGAACAAAAATGCACTGAATGCAAGCACAGTTGATATGACCTCAGCTGACCCAAATTAAACTCCAATTATTGTGGGATTAATTCTTCTGGCATGAAAAACACAGCCTGTCAACAGGAACTGAAAACACCCTGTAAATCAAGAAACGTTAAAGCCTAGTTGAGGATTATGCATGAAGAGTGAGAGGATTATGACAGGAGACAGTTCTTAGCCTGATGAGCAGCAAACTCAGCTTCCCAGATAAAGGAAATTGCATGTAATGCTCCCATACACACTGGAAGAAAATGCTGCAAGCTTCTGCTAGATGAGAAAGATATGGAAGTCAAAATCTGTGGGATGAAGCCTTCCCATGCAAAGCCAACAACTGTTACAGGTATCTCTCTGTCTCTCTGTGTGTACACAGCTGAAATTAACACATTTTCTTTACTAAGTGGATTGCAGTTTGCCATATTTTTTCATTTATCTATGTACTGTCAGTAACAGAATGCAATTTTCCACCATCTCTTTTAAGTTCTTGCTATCAGCATATCTGTTTTCAGGCTTTTTGCTTGATACCGTAGGTTAGACTGTTGGTGAGGAGCTGAACAAGAGATAAAGTTATTTAAAAAGCCAGGAGATAAAGAAATGCATGCAATTTGTTGAAACTTATTGCACATGAAGGAATGTCGTCTTTCTCCAACTTAATGTGGACTACACAACTCCTCTGTGTGCCCCAATGGGGAAGTAACAGCGAGATGGATTTTGCTCATTGAAACTTCTGTGACGTTTCCATGCTCGCAGTAAAAGTTCTCCATGTCTGTGATTTGCCCTCATTCATTCCAGTTCAGGAAAGCCCTTGTGTATATGCTTAAGCTCTGCTGAAGTCAACAGGATTTCAGAACAAGCTTAAAGTTAAGAATCTATCGAGAACTTTCCTGAACAGGGATCTGTGCTTATTGCACTTGGTTCAATCAACCCATGAGATTTTGGTTTCTGAGTTTTTCAGCACAAGAATAGAAAGGGTATGTTTTGTGCATTAAGATCAGTTCTTTCTAATATTTCTAGTGTATGAAAATGTTTGGAGAGTGGTACAGAACAATTCATTCTGAAGAGACATAATTGTATATTGTATGTATGCAGACATACATGTCTACACTCAGAAAAAATTTTGCTCAGTATTGAAGACATATTCACCTTTGTTTGGATCAATGCTGTGGTTGACTACTTCTGTAGCACAGTGTCCAGAATAACTGAATTATCCATGAAAGGTATACTGTCCATGTGAATGGCACACAGTCATTATGACAAGTGAGCACTATTCCGCACCCAGTGAAGTCCTTGTTGAGTGTACTGAACTAAATGCTCCATACTGCTGTGCAAGGTGATAGGTCCCATCAATGCATCCAAGTCGTTAAAAAAATCTACAGGGGAAAAAAAAGATTTGGCATCAGAAGAGTGAAGCTGTATTTGCTACTTGTCACCCTTTAATAGATTTTATTCTCTTGCAAATTGAGTCAAGCTGAACATTTCATGGGAATGAAAGTTTAGTGCTGGTGAGATTAATTTTAAAGCCCTGTGGTTCATGATGTTACAGGCTGATGCACAACAATTTTCATTTTCAAGAACAAAACAGTGAGTTCTTCGGCTTTGCTTTTCATTAATTTCCATTGAGTCTTGATAAAGCAAACAGCTGCTGGGCAAGATTTATTTTGAGATTAAGGACAACTAAATCAAAAAGTCTACACACCAGTGTCTATCTATACATATGCTAGATATTTAAGCTACCACAACAGAGAAATAGAGGCCAGTACAACATGGTCAAAGCCTAACTTAATTCAGTTACCTACTTAGAGGCACATAGTGCCCTTTTGAGATGCTCTCAGGCAGTGGATACATATAGCCTGGACTGGCAGACCTAATACAGGACGTACAGGAGACTTCTGGAGTGGCAGTGTAGGTAAGCATACCTCAAATGGCATTTGGCAGCTATGCTTAGACAACTGAATTGTACCCGTCTCCCCTTCTGGGTGTATGGAACAGCTCTCTGGGCTCTGCTGTTTGTATTGAACAAAGCTCCATCAACTGCAATGGGAGATTAGCCCCCCAACTCATATATACACACCAACACATAGGCATCCTCATTTTGATTTGAATCCTGCCCATGCCCCAGCCTTAAATACACAAATTAGCCTGAAAACCAGGGAATACTTTATCACCAAATCAGATGCTGGGACACCTGCTCATGGAAACCAGTTCAGCTAAGTTTGCTCTGAAGACAGAGCAAGGCACCTCGTTCCCCTCTGTGTCTGCTCGGACGGGGGCAGGGCTAGGGGTTGTTCATTCCTTCTGCAGAGAGGAAGTGTGCTCCTGATTTTTGACATGGTCTAGCTAAATGCATTCCGTCCAGCTCCACGACTTTGGGGGGCAGGAAGCTGCCTTGCCTCCCACAAACCCTTCTCTCCAGAATGACACAGATGGCAGTGAATGCTACCCACAACTTTTTGTTGGAACGGGTCCAGAGGACAGTCATGAAGCTGATCAGAGGGCTGGAGCACCTCTCCTATGAGGACAGGCTGAGAGAGTTGGGATTGTTCAGCCTGGAGGAGAGAAGGCTTCGGGGAGATC